TGTCCAAGAAAATAGTGTAAATCAAGAAAAAGGACTTTATGGAATAAAACTATACATACATGGGACTAAATGGGTTAAAAAATTCCTTTATGGACTTCTTCGGTTAAAACACTTCTAAATGGGATTTATAAATAAAAATCCTATTATATTATTTTAATAAGTTTAATTGCATGATTATGTGCTTAATTGTGTGATTACATGTTTAATTATGTAATTATCTATTGTCATGTGAAATATCTGTTTAAATTGACATCTTAGAGTCAGAAATTAAGAGCCTAAACAACTTCAGAAACTGAAATTGACTGGCCCAATAGGCTAATTAGAATATTTAGAATTTTATGGCAACTTTAATTGAAATTTGATTTGGATCAAAATAATTAAAATGATTGATTAGATTTTATTAGAACGAAGTGGGATTAATTAGTCCTAACTAAGCTTAATTAACTTAAGCCAATTACATACATATATATGAGCTACATAAGCTCAAATAGACTCAAATACATCTTCGAGCTGAGAATTTGAGAGAGAAGGGAGGAGAGCTCAACTTTTAGAGAGAGAACAAGGAAATTTGTAGAGAATTGTGGAAGACTTGCAGATTTGAGCTAGGATTGCACTTGAATTTAACTCTAGGTATGGAAACCACACTCAATTCTTGTAGATAATCTATATAAGAAATGAATTCACCCAGCTATGAGACCATCTGCATGAATATAGAAGGTATATGCTAAGATCATCTTGGTTATGGAAGAATTGAGCATGATTGCATACATGCATGCATGAATCTCCAATTTGAGTTTGAATTCCATGAAATTCTTTACATGCATGGAATCCTCACACATTCATTTGAAGAGGTTTTCATGTTCTTACACTTTTCATACCATTTGGTCAAGTTTTGTAAAAAGATTAAAAAGTATGTCTCATGCATGGTTTCAACTTCACAGTTCAAGATGGATTTTGGGAATTGGTTCATGATTTTGAACAATTGGTTCCAAATTAACTACGTTTCCATGTTTTATAAAGATTTCCCATGTTTTTGTGCCTAAAATATTAGTTTGGAACCTTTGAACAATAACATTGAAGCTCAAATGCAGTTCTGGAAATCCCAAAATTTGTCGTGTCTACTAGAGCGAGGAAAGCGTTGCTCGAGCGTGAAAATCGAGCTCCTAGAAGTTTTCTGAAATTTTATAGGTCGCTCGAGCGACCAAAGTAGCGCTCGAGTGAGGAACCTTTTCTACTTAGTACCCACTCGAGCGACTCTCGAGCGGGAATTTCATGTAACCAATTCTTTTGCAGACTGCTCGAGCGAAGGAAGTCACGCTCGAGCGACCACCTCTGTTTTTGATTCTCCGCTCGAGCGTGGGAAGTTCCGCTCGAGCGTGGACTCTGTTTTCAGCAAATTTTGAGAAACTCTTTTAAGTGCATATTTGCATCCTCATGTCACTCCAAGCATTCTTAGACACCATTTGGACTCCTATAATGTTAGAAACACATAAAGAGAATTGAACCTTTGTTATGTGTTTTGTTCAGGTGGACGTCCGTGGCTTAGTGACAACACAAACCACAATGAGTAATAACCTTATAAAGATATGTTCAAATTATCCTTACTTTCGAAAATGTTACTGCTATCAAAATGGACATATGATATATGATTGATTGAATGAATTATTAAAATGTTTTGATAACTGATAGCATGGCTTATTGAAATGTTATGTCTTTAATGAATGAAGTTCTGTCTTGAAACGGTATTGTGGCATCCATTAAATGTAGGCCCTTGCCTGGGGGTAACAATACCATGGCTAGGCCCTTGCCTAGGGATAATAATACCATGGCTAGGCCCTTGCTTGGGGGAACAATACCATGGCTAAGCCCTCGCCTGGGGTAACAATACCATGGCTAGGCCCTTGTCTGGGGGTAATAAAACCATGGCTAGGCCCTTGCTTGGGGGTAACAATACCATGGCTAGGCCCTTGCCTAGGGGTAACAATACCATGGCTAGTATGGTCCATTATCATTAGAATATTATTGTTTCATGGATATGCCACATATAATGTTACGAATGGCTTTTGTTACTATAAAGAGATGCTATGATTGCTAATCGAAATGTTCTGCCTTTTATAATGGATTGCTTAGAAAAATGAAAGGTATGTTTCGATATGGGATTCGACATGGAAAATGTTTCGTTGTGAATTTTATTTAATGTGGAAAATGCCTCCATTTGAAATGATTTAAGATTCGTTTCGAAATTGAAAGGCATGTTTTTGTACTATCGTCGAGCTTCATTCATTTAACCTCTTTATTCTGTTATTACTCATTGGGCTCTAGCTGACTATTTGTTTATATATGTATATGTAGGTGGGCAAGCTGAGCATCAGAATTAGAAGCCTCAAGTCCACCTGAGTTAGCCCTTTTGAGGAAGCTTCCAAGTGAAGTGATCAGGCTTAGGGAGCCATGTTAGAGAACCCCCTTTTTGTGTATTTTAAAGTTCTTTTTGTATGTGTGTATAATTAGGGTTGTATACTTGTAAGATATGAATTTGTGCTTATAATGGATGTATCTTTGAAACAGAACTTTGCTTAACATATTTGTTCTCATCACATATGCACAACTTAATGGATAAATTCTATGTCATATTGGACTTCCGCTATGCCCCGTACTTTATAATTAAAGGTTCTTTTTTATGGAGGCAGTAGGTAATCTATGATTACTGGCCGGTCATCACGTTAAATTTATAGGGGTGGGTTTGGGTTTTGACAAAGTGGTATCAGAGCACGAGTTATATCTCACTCACTTGTCCATTAAGCTACAGAGAGTCTAGAAGATACTTCAGGATTGCATGCATGTGCAATTGAATTTTAGAGTGAGATAAATTGTATGATTACATGTTTTGAATTTGTACATGTGGACATATTTTATTTGTTGTGTTTATTATAATACAAGTCTTATATAGGAAATGGTGAGGATAAGGGGTGATGAGCTGGAGGAGGCATCCTCTTCAAGGCTGGACAGACTGGAACGAATGATGCACGACATGGCTGAGGCCATAAGACAACAATAGCAATGGCAGCGACAACAACAACTACCACACCCACCTCCAATGCCTGTGCCACCTCCAGCTCCAGGGTGTCAGCCGAAGACTTGTACTGTTGCTTTGACTAGAGAGTTTAAAAAGATGAAGCCACTAGTGTTCCATGGTGGAATTGAACCACTAAAGGTCGAAGCTTGGGTCTTAGGGATTGAAAAATTGTTTGAGGTATTCCCGTGTACCGAAGCTCAGAAAGTACAGCTAGCTACATTCACCCTAGAAGATGATGCCAGACGTTGGTGGATGTTGGTTCGAGATGATAATAAGGATGTTACGTAGGCTCATTTTCTGGAAATCTTCTATGAGAAATACTTTTCCTAATGTGTGCGGGATAGAAAAGTATCTAAATTTATGGAACTCAAGCAGGGAAGTAAATCAGTGGCTGAGTATGAGGCTCAATTTACAGAGTTAGCTCGTTTCGCACCCCCTATGGTAGACACGAATTACAAGAAGGCTAGACAGTTTGAAGGAGGCTTGCGTGACCCAATTCTGGATAAAATCAATGTACTTAAATTGCCGACATATGTGGATATACTTGATAGGGCACTGATAGCAGAGAGAAATGTGGCTAACCGTAAACAGAATTTCAAATGGAAGGGCAGAAAATAGAGTTTTAATAAGGAACTACATCAACGAACAAGAAATTCAAGTCTAGGAGTTCTAGCAATACTGGTTTAAGCCAAAGTGGTAATTCAACGACAACTTGTACTACGTGTGGAAAGAAACATGGAGGTATTTGCTACCGTGCGTCAGGAGCTTGCTATCACTGTGGAAAGTTTGGGCATATCGCCAAAGATTGTACACAATCACGTTAGGGTGGCAATCGAGGTGCCACAAGCTCGATTGGGTCAGCTTCCACAACAAAACAAGCTACAACACCACCTATCACAAGAAATGACCAAAGGCAAGGAAGAGTTTTTGCATTGATTCCGGGGGATACTCAAAATACTGAGGCCGTAGTGTCAGGTACAATCTCCATTTGTGGTAAACCTGCCTATGCTTCAATTGATTCAGGGTCTACGCATTCGTTTATTTTTATGATTTTTGCTGAAACTCTGAATAGACCTATAGAAACATTGACCTATATACTATGTGTTACATTACCTACGGGGGAATCCATGCTATGTTCAACTGTATTTGTTGCATGTGAATTATTACTTGGGAATGCTACTTTGTATGCCGATTTAATACCTTTAAACATGAGACATTTTGATGTGGTGTTGGGTATGGATCAGTTAGCTAAATACTATGCAACTATTGATTGTGCTTTGAAATGAGTAATATTCCGACCTCCCGAACAAGATGAATTTTATTTTGTGGGGAATGGGGTAGTTTCTCCACCATACCTCATATCTGCCATGAAAGCCCAAAAACTAATAAATAAGGGTTGTCAAGGGTATTTGTGTAGTGTGATAACTGAACCAACTATGGATATTACTCTAGCCAATATACGAGTGGTGAGAGATTTTCCTGATATGTTTCCAAATGAATTACCCGGCCAACTTGTTTATAGAGAGATTGAATTCACAATTGATGTAATACCAAGAACTCAACCAATTTCTAAAACTCCCTACCGCATATCTACCACTGAAATGAAAGAATTGAAAACTCAGTTGTAGGAATTGCTTGATAAGGGATTTATTCATCCAAGTACTTCACTATGGGGAGCACTGGTGTTGTTTGTAAAGAAGAAAGATGGCACCCTCCAACTATACATTAATTACCGAGAGCTTAACAAGGTAACAGTGAAAATAAATACCCTTTGCCACGTATTGATGACCTGTTTGATTAGTTGCAGGGGGCACATATATTTTCAAAAATTGACTTGAGATCGGGGTATCATCAATTGAAAGTTAAGGCTGAAGATGTTGAAAAGACTGCCTTCCGAACCAGGTATGGACATTATGAGTTTTTAGTCATGCCTTTTGGGGTTACAAATGCGCCTGCAGCATTTATGGATTTGATGAATAGAATTTTCAAACCCTTCTTGGATGAATTTATCGTAGTGTTTATTGATGATATTCTCATATATTCGAAAAATAGAGATGAACATGAACAACATTTAAGACAGATTCTCCAAATACTTAGAGAAAAACAGTTATATGGGAAATTCAAAAAGTGTGAATTTTGGCTTGTTGAAATTGCATTTTTGGGACATATCATTAAGAAAGATGGTATATCTGTTGATCCTCATAAAATTGAAGCAATCATTAATTGGCCTACTTCGACTAATGTATCAGAAGTTCATAATTTTATGGGATTGGCAGGATATTACCGAAGATTTGTTAGAGACTTTTCAAAAATTGTTGTGCCATTGACTCAGTTAACTCGGAAAGGGGAACCATTTGAGTGGACGAATCAGAGAGAAACAACCTTTCAAGAGTTGACGACAAGACTGACTACAGCTCCGATTCTTGCTATTCCCTCAGGTATTGAAGGTTTTATGATCTTTAGTGATGCATCTCATAAGGGCTTAGGTTGTGTTTTAATGTAGAATGGGAAAGTGATTGCACATGCCTCTCGACAATTAAAGCCACACGAAAAGAACTACCCTACACATGATTTGGAACTTGTTGCAATTGTGTTTGCATTAAAGATATGGCGTCACTATTTGTATGGGACCAAATGCGAAGTATATACAGATCATAAGAGTTTGAAATATTTTTTCACTCAGAAGGAGTTGAACATGCGTCAAAGGCGATGGCTTGAATTAATCAAAGATTATGATTTACAAATTCACTATCACCCGGGAAAAGCCAATACTGTGGCAGATGCACTTAGCAGAAAGAATGTGGGGAATCTTTCCTATTTGCTCACTGATCAAAGAGAACTGCTACTGGAGTTTGAAAAACTTGAAATTGAAATGGTGCCTTTTGAACAAGGTAGCTTGATAGCTGCAATGGTTGCCCAAGCTGCCATTATCGAGGAAATTAAGCAAAATAAATGAATGATGAGTTTTTGAAGAAGATTTGTGATGAACTTGACACCAAGCCTAAACCAGGGTTCGTAATTGAAGATTCTGTGTTAAAATATCAAGGGAGATTATGTATTCCAAATGATGCAGATGTGAAAAGAAAAATTTTGGAGGAAGCTCACAAGTCGATGTTTGCTATGCATCCAGGAAATACTAAAATGTACCAAGATTTGAAGTTAGTGTATTGGTGGCCCAACATGAAAAGGGAGATTGCCGACTTCAACTCTAAATGCTTGCAATGCCAACAAGTAAAAGTGGAGCATCAGAAACTAGCAGGTTTACTTCCGTCTTTTTCTATTCCGGAATGGAAGTGGGAAATCATCACCATGGACTTTGTTGTTGGCCTACCTCGAACACCTAGAGGTATGGACTCTATTTGGGTTATAGTTGATAAATTGACTAAATCTGCTCACTTCCTTGATGTAAAGACTTCATTTACTGCATATAGACTTGCTATTATTTACATTGATGAGATTATTTGACGGCATGGAGTCCCAGTGTCTATTGTATCAGATAGGGATCCTAAATTTGTCTCTAGAATTTGGCATAGTCTGCAGGATGCAAGGGAACAGAATTGAAATTTAGTACAGCATTTCATCCACAGACCGATGGGCAAACTGAAAGGATTATTCAGACCTTAGAGGACATGCTTCGTATGTGTGTTTTGGATTTTCAGGGCAGTTGGGAAGCTTATTTACCATTGGCTGAATTTGCTTACAACAATAGTTTCCACGTGAGCATCGGTATGGCACCATATGACGCACTATATGGCAGAAAATGTAGGTCGCCAATTTGTTGGACAGAGGTTGGTGATAGAGCTATTTATGGGACTGAACTTGAGCAAAAGACGACTGAAAAGATCAAAATTATTCAGCAGAGGCTTAAAACTGCACAGAGCCGACAAAAAAGCTATACGGATCAGTGGAGAAGGGACTTAGAGTATGAAGTGAGAGATCATGTATTCATCAAAGTGACCCCAATGAAGGGGCATATGGGATTTGGCAAAAAGGAAAAACTGACTCCTCGCTATGTTGGACCGTTTTAGATCCTTGAAAGGTTGGATCCTGTTGCTTACCGTATTGTCTTGCCACCGAGAATGGAACAAGTACATAACGTTTTCTATGTATCCATGCTTCGTGGGTATCTTAGAGATCCATTCCATGTGACTGACTACCACCGGGTTGCTCTAGATGAGGATATGATGTATGAAGAATAGCCCGTGCAAATCATTGATCGACAAGAGAAGCAATTAAGATACAAGACTATCCCTATGGTGAAAGTCGAGTGGAAAGAACATTATGGGAAAGAGGCCACTTGGGAGAAAGAAGAAAAGATGCAGCAATGGTATTCGTATTTGTTTCCATCTGAAGGTAACTTAAGTTTGGAGGACCAAACTTTCTAAGGGGGAGAGGCTGTGACGACCCTGACCTCCGAATTAGTATATTATATTTTTTTAATAAGCTTAATTGCATGATTATGTGCTTAATTGTGTGATTACATGCTTAATTCTGTAATTATCTGTTGTCATGTGAAATATTTGTTTAAATTGACAACTTAGAGTCAGAAATTGAGAGCCTAAACGGCTTCAGAAACTGAAATTGACTGGCTCAATTGGCTAATTAGAATATTTAGAATTTTATGGCAACTTTAATTGAAATTTGATTCGGATCAAAATAATTAGAATGATTGATTAGAGTTTATTAGAACAAAGTGGGATTAATTAGTCCTAACTAAGCTTAATTAACTTAAGCTAATTACATAAATATATATGAGCTACATAAGCTCAAATAGACTCAAATACATCTTTGAGCTGAGAATTTGAGAGAGAATGGAGAAAAACTCAACTTTTAGAGAGAGAACAATGAGATTTGTAGAGAATTGTGGAAGACTTGAAGATTTGAGCTAGGATTGCACTTGAATTTAACTCTAGGTATGGAAACCACACTTAATTCTTGTAGATAATCCATATAAGAAATGAATTCACGCAGCTATGAGACCATCTGCATGAATTTAGAAGGTATATGCTAAGATCATCTTGGTTATGGAAGAATTGAGTATGATTGCACACATGCATGCATGAATCTCCAATTTGAGTTCGAATTCCATGAAATTCTTTACATGCATGGAATCCTCACACATTCATTTGAAGAGGTTTTCATGTTCTTACACTTTTCATACCATTTGGTCAAGTTTTGTAAAGAGATTAAAAAGTTTGTCGCATGCACGGTTTCAACTTCACAGGTCAAGATGGATTTTGGGAATTGGTTCATGATTTTGAACAATTGGTTCCAAATTAACTACGTTTCCATGTTTTATAAAGATTTCCCATGTTTTCGTGCCTAAAATATGAGTTTGGAACCTTTGAACAATAACATTTTAGCTCAAATGCAGTTCTAGAAATCCCAGAATTCGTCGTGTCTGCTCGAGCGAGGAAAGCGTCGCTTGAGCATGAAAATCGAGCTCTTAGAAGTTTTCTGAAATTTTATAGGTCGCTCGAGCGACCAGAGTGGTGCTCGAGCGAGGAACCTTTTCTACTTAGTACCCACTCGAGCGACCGTCGAGCGGGAATTTCATGCAACCAGTACTTTTGCAGACTGCTCGAGCGACCACCTCTGTTTTTGATCCTCAGCTTGAGAGTGGATTCTGTTTTCAGCAAATTTTGAGAAACTCTTTTAAGTTCATATTTGCATCCTCATGTCACTCCAAGCATTCTTAGATACCATTTGGACTCCTATAATGTTAGAAACACAAAGAGAGAATTGAAGTAAATGAAATGGAGTTTCAATTGTGCCTTTGTTAAGTGTTTTGTTCAGGTGGACATCTGTGGCTTAGTGACAACACAGACCACTGTGAGTAATAACCTTATAAAGATATGTTCAAATTATCTTTACTTTCGAAAATGTTACTGCTATCAAAATGGACATATGATATATGATTGATTAAATGAATTATTAAAATGGTTTGATAACTGATAGCATGGCTTATTGAAATGTTATGTCTTTAATGAATGAAGTTCTGTCTTGAAACGGTATTGTGGCATCCATTAAATGTAGGCCCTTGCCTGGGGGTAACAATACCATGGCTAGGCCTTTGCCTGGGGGTAACAATGCCATGGCTATTATGGTCCGTTATCATTGGAATATTATTGTTTCATGGATGTGCCACATATAATGTTATGAATGGCTTTTGTTACTGTAAAGAGATGCTATGATTGCTAATCGAAATGTTCTACCTTTTATAATGGATTGCTTAGAAAAATGAAAGATATGTTTCGATATGGGATTCGACATGGAAAATGTTTCGTTGTGAATTTGATTTAATGTGGCGAATGTCTCCCTTTGAAAATGATTTAAGATTCGTTTCGAAATTGTAATGCATGTTTTTGTACTATCGTCGAGCTTCATTCATTTAACCTCTTTATTCTGTTATTACTCATTGGGCTCTAGCTGACTATTTGTTTATATATGTATATGTAGGTGGGCAAGCTGAGCTTCAAAATTAGAAGCCCCGAGTCCACCCGAGTCAGCCCTTTTGAGGAAGCTTCCAAGTGAAGTGATCAGGCTTAGGGAGCCATGTTAGAGAACCCCCTTTTTGTGTATTTTAAAGTTCTTTTTGTATATGTGTATAATTGGGGTTGTATATTTATAAGACATGAATTTGTGCTTATGATGGATGTATCTTTGAAATAGAACTTTGCTTAACATATTTGTTCTCCTCACATATGCACAGCTTAATGGATAAATTCTATGTCATATTGGACTTCCGCTAAGCCCCGTACTTTACAATTAAAGGTTCTTTTGTATGGAGGCCGTAGGTAATCTATGATTACTGGCTGGTCATGACGCTAAACCTATAGGGGCGGGTTTGGGTCTTGACAGAAATCCTTTGGATACATTTACTTCATAGTGCACCTTTTGATTGGACAACATGTATGTGCTGAAACAGTCGAGCAACATTCATCTAATATCTGTGAATGCAAATGTTTTACTACATCTGTAGGTTGAAATACAGATTCATCTAGTTCATTGGTAAACTTGTTTTCTTTTGTTACTCCAATTATTGAAACTTCTTTTGTATCACGTCTTCATCTTTCACACTTGCTGTTGGTAGTTATACCCAGGAGACCATTTTGTTTATTATGTAGTCTGTAGTTTATAATGCTATTGTTTCAAGAAGTATTTAATAATGTGACACTTTAAATCTTTTTCCATTCACATGTTGTTGGCTTGCAAAAGTAGAAGGCATAAGGGTATCAAAATTAAATATAAGGGCATAAGTGTCCAAGAAAATAGTGTAAATCAAGAAAAAGGACTTTATGGAATAAAACTATACATACATGGGACTAAATGGGTTAAAAAATTCCTTCATGGACTACTTGGGTTAAAACACTTCTAAATGGGATGTATAAATAAAAATCCCATTATATTATTTTAATAAGTTTAATTGCATGATTATGTGCTTAATTGTGTGATTACATGCTTAATTCTGTAATTATCTGTTGTCATGTGAAATATTTGTTTAAATTGACAACTTAGAGTCAGAAATTGAGAGCCTAAACGGCTTCAGAAACTGAAATTGACTGGCTCAATTGGCTAATTAGAATATTTAGAATTTTATGGCAATTTTAATTAAAATTTGATTCGAATTAAAATAATTAGAATGATTGATTTGAGTTTATTAGAATGATGTGGGATAAATTAGTACTAACCAAGCTTAATTAACTTAAGCTAATTAAATACATATATATGAGCGATATAAGCTCAAATAGACTAAAACACATCTTTGAGTTGAGAATTTGAGAGGGGAGGAGAGCTCAGCTTTTAGAGAGAGAACAAGGAGATTTGTAGAGAATTGTGGAAGACTTGAAGATTTGAGCTAGGATTGCACTTGAATTTAACTCTAGGTATGGAAACCACACTCAATTCTTGTAGATAATCCATATAAGAAATGAATTCACCCAGCTATGAGACCAT